GGGGGGGGGGCCTGCTGGGGGAGGACATGCAAACGAAGGAGGGAAGAGGTGTGCTTCCCACTACTGGTATCTGAGGCTCCCTCTTGCACACACCAGACCTCTGGGACCCTTTTCTCCTCCATCTCTGCTCACCACGGGGTCCGTGTCAAGAAGGCAGTGTAGGGGCATGAGCTTCTCTCTCCCCAGAGACCTGAGTGGCCCCTTCCCCCTCCCAGTTGACACCACCCATGTGGCCCTCCACGATATGGACAACAGCTTGCCTGGAGCCGACTACATCAACATCAATGCCAGCTACATCAGGGTGGATATGCGAAGGGGGTGGGCACGTAGATCTAACAGGCTGGCCACACACTTGGAGTCACCCCGCCTGGGGTTCCTCCAGGACACAGTGGGTCCGTGGGGCCACGTGTGGGCCCTGGAGGACAGCGGACATCCTGGGGGAGGGAAGGCAGGTCCCCAAGGGGACCTCAGAGAATCTGGATTGACCACTGGTCCTGAGCCCCGCAGGGCTGCTTTGCATACAGTTTGCATAGAGTCCTGTGTATTTGTCCCCTGGGACTTTACCCCCTGGAAACAGCAGGCAGTTGACTCCCACCCCTTTCAGAATGACCCAGAGGAGAAGCTGGTCCAGGCACTCGGCAAGGTGTACATCGCCATGCAGGGCTGTCTGCAGACCCTGATGGCCGCCTTCTGGTCCATGGTGCACCAGGAGAACACGTGCGTCATCGTCATGACAAGGAGGTAGAGTGCAGTCAGGTGAGGCTGGCCCTGCCTGCTTCTCCCTTAGCTGGTTGAAGAACAGCCCTCCCAACTTGGCCAAAGAGCCTTCCAAGACAAGGATGCTGGTGGTTGGCCAGTGTGGCTGATTCGAAACCCCCCCCCCCCACCAGAACAAGTGCTTCCGGTACTGGCCAGAGCCTTGCTGCAGCCAGGAGCATGGCTGGGTGTGCGTTCGAAATATGGCTGAGCATCAGGCCCGGGGCTACTATGTGTGGGAGCTGGAGGTGTGGCGGCCAGACCAGGTGAGTCTGGTGGGCAGTGAAAATGCAGCACCGGGGTTGGAGTGGTCAGAGGTGAGAAGGTCCTGTGCACAGGAAGGCTCCTACCCTACCCCATCCTGCCTGCCCATCTGGTTTCCCCCGGCTCCACTGTCCCCGGTGGCTTCCATGTTCCCCAACCCAGTGGGCATGGTCCAGGCCCAGGATCTGGGCAGTGTGCACTGTGGCCGCCACATTCTGACCAAACCGCTTTCCTCTGCCCTGGGGCCCAGGTTCACCGCTCCTCCTGGTCTGGAGGGGGGCCCAACCTTCATCCACCTCTCCCATCAGTATCTCCGTGGCCCATCTCTGCATTCCATTCTCCTTCGAATGTCTTGTTCTGGTTCTGTCTGAGGCATAGACACCACCACCCCAACCCCCGACCCCCTTCAGTTGTCCAACCACCTTGGTGGGGGCACTCCTGCAAGCACCATCCATGGGTCCTCACATTCAGCTCTTCTCAAACACAACTCACTGTCTCCCACAACCTGCTCCTCCGCTTCCCCCGCCCCCCAGGTACCTGGGTCACCTGGCGGCCACCCCATGCCCACACCCCGTGCTGGGCAGCCCGACATCTTCCTCATCAGCCTTTCCACTAGATCCCTCTTTCTAGCACACCCAACCTCGCCAGCTGCCGGCTCCGTCTTGGCCCAGCGCATCCCCCGCGGCGCTCCATGAGGGTCGTAAAAATGCTCGCTCTGAGTCCACGCTTCGGCCCCACTCTGGCGGCTGCAGACGGGTTGGGGCTTGCGCTCACCGCCTTGCCCCGCCCAGGAGGAGCCGCGGCGTGGCTCTCGGTGAAGCACTACCAGTACTTCCGGGGCCGGGCCACGGAGTCCCGGCCGAGCCTACCGGCGTAAAAGCCTCTTCTGGACAAAGTGAACCAAGCCTAAACTAGAGCGCTGGGGTTTGGACGCCTGGTCTTGCACTGCAGGTGCGGCCGGGAGTGGGGGCCGCCGGGTGTGGGCGGGGTCGCCGGCTGTGGGTGGACCGGTGGATGAGTGGGACCGCCAGGTGTGGGCGGGGCCTCCGGGTGTGGAAGGGGCCTGGGCCTGGTTCCGTGAAACGCGCCACAGGCAGGCTGGTCCGTCCCACAGCTCCGATATCGGTCGCACCAGCACCACCACCATCGCGATTGACATCCTGGCGGACGTCGTCCGAAGGCACTGTGAGCTGGCCCCTCCCTCCCCGCCTGTGGCCCCGCCCCGCGATCCCGCTTCTTCCTCCCTGTGGCCCCGCCCCTCCCTGCTCCGAAGCCCCTCCCCTCCATGGCCTCCTCCTCCCCTCCGACTCCGCCCACCCCATGGCCTCGCCCCTCCTCGAGCCAGCTTCCCCAGTGCCCCGCCTTCCCGAGGCCCGGCCCCTCGCCGCCGGCCCCGCCTTTCCGGCCCCGCCTCCAGCCCTCCCCGTGCCCGCCCCTCCTGTGACCTTGCTCCTCCTACCTCGTGGCCCAGCCATTCCCGTGGCCCCGCCCAGGCCCCGCCCAGGCCCCGCCCCCAGGCCCATCGCTCCTCCCTTGGCCCCGGTACCTCCCTGAGCCGGTCTCACTTGAGGTAGCCCGCCTTGAGCGCCTTTGCCACAGGGCAGGCCAGAGACATTGACGTCCCGAAGATGATCCAGCCAGTAGGGTGGCAGCGTTCGGGGATGGTGCAGTACAAGTTCCTGTACCTGACACTGCGGTGGTACATCCAGGACGAGCAGCAGCGCCTGCGCCAGCTGGTGGAGGCGGGTCTTGCGCGGAAATCATCGAGGTAACCTGCGCCCCCAACACACAGCGCGAGCTACCAGAGAAGCGCAATTGTTTGAACGTGGGCACGGCGCCCGCCTTCCCCAAACGCAGTCCCAGACCCTCGGCGTTCCGGGCGCCGGCGGCGTGAGTGTGGGGGCGTCAGGGTGCGGAGAACTGACCCCGCTCGAGACTGGACCGCGCCGGGGAGCCGGGCCAACGCCCTCTCCGGCCGCAGGACCCACGAGAAACTGCAAGACCTCGGACAGTGACCCGGCGCCGGAGGTCCCCGGCCTGCCTCTGCCCGGCTGGGAGCCGCGGGCTCTTGCCTTCCTCAAGGGGCTCGCACCTGGCACGAAGAAGACCTGTCCTCGCCGCTCAGGGAGGGGACCTGAGCCTGTCGCTCAGACCCCACCTCCGAGCAAGCCTGGGCCCCCAGAAATGGGAGGGACGGCGGGGATCCCAGAGGTGTCGCGGAAGGGGAGGCAGGGTTGTGGGACAGCGATTGGTCTCAGGGTGAGCGGCGACAGACCACTTAGAAGCAGGGTGACTATGTGGGGCCCTGTGCATGAGGGTGTGGGTCTGTATGTGCCATATGAGTGACCAGTGACATGAGTGGCCAGTCTTGACCTGCCTGTAACCATCCAGGTGTCCGTGTGTCCCGCTCCCTGCATCCCATAGCCTCCCTTTAGAGCCACAGCAGCTCGGCCTGGAGTGGCTGCATGTCCAGGGATACCTGAGGCAGGCATGTCACAGTCATGTGGTGGCAAATGCTTCTGGATTGAGGAACGTGTGGGCTCATGTGACTGACGTGACGAGGCCATGGCCCATGTGCATGACTGTGCGGGACAGGTGTGACATCACTGGTCGGGTGGCCTAGGCAACCGCTTCACAAAACAGCCACAGCAGCTGTGTGGCATCTTCAGTAAAGTGCTGCATTCCTAGTTCTGTGTCCTCCCAGTTCTTTTGGGGCGCAGGCCCCCTCCCCACCTCGGCGGGAGGCTCAGCTGGTTGGATCAGGAAGTGCCAGGCTTTGGGGTAAGGGGTGAGGAGGCTGGGACCTGCCTGAGCCAGAACCAGCCCAGGCTCTCCTCCCTTGCCTGTCTGGTCGGGCCGGATTCCTGAGGCTTTTAGCGGTGGGATGGACTCCCTCCTGCCCTGCCCTGGGGACAATGCACTTCTCAGTTCACCAGCCATGCCTGGTCCAGGAGGGCCCTGAGAGTCTGTGGCTCCTTAGGTATGTGGGTCTTCAGGCTGCACCCCTCTAGGGCCTGCTGGTCAGCACCACCTACCCTTCTGTGGACCCTTAGGCCCAGTTCCCAGGGAGGGGCTTGGAGGTCCTGGGACTTGGCTCCCAGCTTGAGCACAGAGGTGGTGGGGGAGGGGAAGGCCACCTTCAGAGCCTCCTGGGCTCTGAACCAGAGCAAGGCCCCACACCTGGTCTGCCCCACAGATGCTCTCCAGTGTTCCTACCTGCCCCTCCCCATCTAGGGGAAGTGCCCCCCGCTGGGAGCAGTCAAGTTGGGAATTGCACTCCTGCGACTGCCAGCAGCCTCCAGAACCTGGTGCCCACCCCAGGGCCTGCTGGGAGGCTGGTCCTGCGGGGGCTCCTCTGGGAGGAGCTGGGGAGCTCCTAGGCCTGCCATGGGCGCAGGGCAGGGCTGCTGCAGGAGGGAGTAAGGACCACTTACCGAACTGGATACAAAATAATTTATTCTAAAAAAGTACAGTTTGTAAGGTGAGAGGAGTAGCTTCTGGGGAGTGCTCCCTGCTGCCCACTCTCCACTTTATGCTCTTGTTCCCCTGGTCAGAGGGGCCAGAGGGCAGGATGAGCACCCCAACCCAAAGGAAGGGACCAGCCCTACCCAGGGAGGGGTCTAGGGGAGGGACCTCGGGTGAAATGTTAAAATCAAAGGAAGGATGAGCCCTCCCTGCTGGAGGTTCACAATGTGGGCAAGGAGGGAGGGGTCTCTAGGCTGGCTCTCTTGGGTCTGTTTCCCCAACAGCATGATGGGATTAGAGAGGTGGTCTCTGGGGCTGGTAGAGCTGGAGATTCTGGGAGGCTTTGGGGACCCTTTGTTTACCTCACCAAGACCCAACCCCAGAGAGTCCTGGGGCCATGGGGAACTAGGGTGTCCAGTGACCTTGAGGCCTAGAAGGGGTCCTCACTGATGTTGAGGCTCCTCTGGACCAATGACCTCAGCTGTTGATTGGGGCCCACACATGGATGCTGGGGGTCATCGTGGCATAGGTGGGGCCACCAGCAGTCCTAGGTTGTCAGCCAGGGACCCAAGGGGGAGCACGGTGGCTGTGGTGGTGGCGGTGGCTGCAGAGGGCCGGGGGAAGCATCGCAGCTTCCCAGTCTTGAGTGCGCAGTGCACGGGCCAGAGCACTACACAGAAGAGCACTAGCAGCAGCGCTGAGACCAGGGCCAAGCGCCTCCAGTCCCCACAGCGCGCCCAGCAGCGAGCCAGGCGGCCCTGGGGGCGCGAGGGCTCTGGAGGGGACGAGGGTGGCACAGGCTCAGCTGGCTTGCTCAGGCCTACATCCACGCACACGAAGGTGGGCGAGGTATGGCCTGACGAGGAGGGCGGTGGGCGGCAGCAGAGCTTGGTGCCCTCCAGCCACACGGGCTCCTCCCGCCGCAGGTGGGCTGGCATCTTGGCCAGCAGTTCTCGGCTGGTGCGAAGTGCAGGGGCCCCGTCGGAGGGGATGGCTGTGGGCTGTCGGCAGAATGGGCAGGGCACAGCCTCCCTGCTAGGGCGGCCCATGGGTTGGGCAGCCGCCAGCCGCGCCAGGCACTCCAGGCAGAAGACATGGGTGCAGGAGAGCTCCTTGGGCGTCTTGAAGATGTTGTCATATCCAGAGAAGCAGATGGAGCACTCCAATGGGGAGGCCACCTTCTCGGAGCTGGGGGTGCCGGGGGACCTGGGGCTGCTGGCTGAGCCGGGGGACCTGGGGTTGCTGGCTGAGCCAGGGGACCTGGGGTTGCTGGCTGAGCCGGGGGACCTGGGGTTGCTGGCTGAGTGGGGGCTCCTGGGCACCGTGGCTGTAGGGCTTCTCCAGCCGGGGGGTGGCACGGCCCTGTGCCACACCTGCTGGTCTGATGACATGGCTCCAAGCTGTGGGACAGAGACCTTGTGAGTGACCCCAGGCTGCCTTCTCCCAAGAGGCCAGTCTGTCGCTCCCCCTCCCTCCCTCCCTGTCTGTTGCCCAGCACCAATTCCCAGCATCTCAGGGAAGGACACTGCCCAGCCTGTGGCATTTCCAGCAAGTTCCACCTATACCTGCCCCCCAACCCCCTCCTTGCCTCGAGGAGGGTCCGAGGTACAGGCGGTGTACACGGGGAGGGGGGAGGGTGCAATTCCCCTCCCAGCCCACCCCCCCAGCCATAGCAGCAGGGAGAAGTAACAGTGGAGGTGACAGTAGCCCCATGCTGGTTACTATTTGTGCCCGGGCTCTGCAGGGTCCACACCGATGCTCATGCGTTGCCAGTGGGGGGAAAGCGCAGCTTAGAGTGTGGGCGACCAGCCAGGGTCACTGGCTAAGAGGCCACTCACGCTCTCATGGGACAGGCTCTGGGAAGGAGTGGTGGATTTGAATGTGGCTCCCAGCCTGTTCTGGCAGTGACTGGCCCCTGATTCACTGGCAGTGGCTGACGGCAGCACTGGGCCTGGGGATCAGGGCCTGGAGGTTGGTCTCTAGGCCTAGGGGCCTGAGACTAGGGGTTGGGGACGGAAGTCAGGGACTGAGCCTGAGGGTGGGGGACTAAGCCTGGGGGTCCGGGCCTGGGCCTAGGAGTGCGGGACTGGCCTTGGGGGCCTGGGCTTGGGGGTCAGGGCCTTAGACTGGGGGTTGGTCTCTGGACCTGGGGGTTGGGGCCAGTCCGAGCCAGCCCAGCTGGGGGAGATCAGGGTCTGAGGGGGTGAGCAGAGGCCAGTGGCCCTCTCAGGGTTTGTGTCCCAGCCTTGGCTGGAACCTGCCAGGCCAGCCTGTCAGGCTGGTGACCAGGGTCTGGTGCCAGTGAGGGTGCTGGGATATGGATGGGCCTTGGCTGTCCCCTCTGGGCCACCTAGGGGCTTCCATGTCCATTCACCAGCCACCAAGAAAGGAACTGTGTTCCCCAGAGACTCCCCCTCCCCACTGGAGGTGCCTCTGTCTCCAGGTAGATGTTACTGCCACTGACCAGGAGTCTGCTGGGAGGCCCTCTGGACCCAGGCCCCAGTCCCCAGTCCTGCCCCTCCGCCCCCGGGAGCCACGGGCAGGATCTGGATGATGAGGGCTCACCAGTCCTGCCTGGAGGAGGGCAGGTGAGGAGGTGACTCATCTATCACCTTCTGGTGGGCAGGGTTGGCCAGGACCCTGGGAAGACCTGGCCAGGTGACCCCTGCAGCCCAAGAGGCCACCCCAGACCAGCCTTGCCAGCCCAACCGCAGTCTGAAAGCCTACACTTCCCTGTTGGCCCTGCAGCTGTTGCCCCAATCCTGACCCTAGGCTACCCTGGGTCCGGGTGGCTGGGCGGTGATGAAGCTTGGTGATGGACCATGAAGGCTCCGGAGCTGCAGCCTCGTCACTGCCTACCTGCTGTGGCTCATGACAACGTCATGGTGAGGCCAAAGGGGCCCCTGGCATGAGTTCATGGACATGATGCGCCTGGGCATTGAAGGTAGGCAGGTGGGCATCAGGCCAGGCAGTGGCTTCAGCAGGTGGGGGTGTGCCCAGTGCACCCCACACAACCCCTCCATGGAGGGGCCCCACCCGAGCTCTGTTACGCTGGCCTTACCTGGTGGCCAGCTGTCAGCAGGGCCTGGGCATGGTCTTCAACGGCCACGGTGGGCCTGGCTCCGGAGCCTCCGGATTATCCCAAGGCACTCACTGCTCTCTCCTTTGGGCCGGCTGCCGGCTTGTTTCCACCTGGCAGATTACCCTCCTCGGCCAGCTGCCAACAGCTGTCCGGGTGGCTGGCTCCAGCAGGTGTGGCCTCCGAACAATTGGGGCGGTGGGGGGCGGCTGGCAGTGTCTTCCAGGCGTGTGGAGCTCCGGTTCGGCAGGCAGGTGTGTGTGCTCTGGGCGTGGGCTCCCAGGCCTGCGTGCAGGTGTATTTATACCCTCTAGTCACCACTGGCCAGGGGTATGGCCTGGGGCCTTGGGATTGGCTGGCACCATCCTCTCCCTGGCCGGCTGGGCGGGGAATTGGGTGAGGGGTCAGAGCTTGGGCAGGGCTGGGCCGGAAGGGGATGTTTGGAAAAAGTGCCCTCCCCTGCCCCTCCCCGTCCCTGGATGCCAGAGCAGCCCGCCAATACCGTCACTGTGTCGTCACTGTGTCGTCGAGGTCACTGGTGGGGCCAGAACTCTGGGGTGAGCCTCCGGGAAGGGGCTGCAGCACCCCCAGTGAGACCGCAACTCTTTAACTCATAGTCACATCAGCTTGTCACCCCCCATGCCCTCCGCACACTCACCTGTTTGCTCATTTGACTCATCCACACCCCTCTCCCGCTTACACATGTGCTCACACATATATTCACACTCATGTGCATGCTGCCACCCCAAGCCCCCACTTTGGTCTGCAGTCTTTGTGGGCAGAAGTGCTGCTTTGGGATCTAGGGAGTGGGGGCTGGGCAGGGGCTCCCCAAGGGGTGTGGTGAGGCTGTGAGGATGAGGCAGGGACCCAGGCTAGCCACCATAGGACTGGTTGGGGTCAGCACCTGCCGGTTACACTCTGTGGGCTGGGCTGGGGGAGGTGCCCTGGAGGAAGGGGAAGGAGGGGGCAAGGTGAAGGCTGACCAGGGGCCGGGCAGGGGTGTGGGAGAGATGTGCCAGAGGGAGCGGGGCTGAGGAGAGTCCTGGTGGCTCAGGTTGCCCACCACAACCCCACCCTTCCCTCACTGGCACCTAGCCCCTCCCTACTCCCCGCTGTCATTTCATCTCACCTCCAGCTCTACCCCTGGCCCCTGCAGTGTCACTTCCAAGGCCAAACTCCTGGGATGTAGGTGACTTCAGGGGCTGAGAGGGTAGGGCCCCACTCTGTGAGAGGAGGGGAGGGGGCTTAGGAGAGGGGGCGGGGGCTGCTCCTGCCTTCTCATGAGAGGAAGGGGGTAGGGCCAGATAGGGGTTGGGGGCTCAGAGAGTGGGGTGGGGATGCCCAGAGAAGGGATAGGGGCTCAGAGAGGGAGGCGGGGGTTCACAGAGATGGGTGGGAGCCCGATAGGGGTTGGGGGCTGAGAGAGAGAATAGGGGCTCAGAGAGGGAGGTGGGGGATCAGAGAGGGGCTTGAGGAGGGAGATGGGAGCTCAGAGAGGAGATTGGGGGCTTGGAGAGAGGGTGAGGTCCCAGAGAGGAGCTTGAGGAGGGGGATGGAGGTCCAGAGAGGGAGTAGGGGCTTAGTGAGGTGCGTGGGGGCTCAGAGAGAGGGGTAGGTACCAGAGAGGAAAGTAGGGCCTCAGAGAGGGTAGCTGGCTGACTGAAGGGCTGGTCTGGGCTCCGTGACTGCAGGACGAGGTTCCTGTTTCCATGGGGAACGTGACATGGGGTCCCATGTCCCTCCAGGAAGTGTTTGAGAATACTCTCCCTCAGGGATCCCGAGAATGTCTAGGCTCTGAGGTCACTCTGAGCCTCAGTGGATAGTCAGTGGCCTTGGAGGCACAGGTGACTAGACACTTGTCAGTCCGTGGAATTCGCCGGCACGGGTGGTGCCAGGCCTGTCTGAGGAGGTGGGGCCCAGATGCGGGGAGGTCCCCAATGCTGACTGAGGGGCGGGAGTAGAGGAACTGGCCACCTGGCCCCCACCCCCCGCTCACTCCCCATCCTGGCCCGGGCAGATGTGACGGGACTGGCTATGCTAGTGCATGCATGTGCACTGTGTGTGCTCCTCTGTGCGAGTGGGTGAGGGGTATGTGCACCAACAGATTAACATGGGTGAGTGTACAAGCATGCGTCTGCACATGTGAAGGCGTGTGGGTGTGTCAGATGTCTGCGTATGTGTAGGTGTGCACATTTGCCTGCCTGTATGTGTAGGGGAGGGGAACCAGGGTGCCTATGAGGCCCCCTGTACCTGTGTGGGCTGTGTCTGCACGCACTGTCACCTCATCCTTGGCCCCTGCACTGGAGGACAGGACAAGGTCCTCAGGGGAACCCCACTGCTCCCCAAATGTGGCTTGTAAGAGGATGGCAGGGTCTGAGCCCTAAAGCCACCTGTGAGTCCTGTGCTGGAGACAGAAGGTGCCTTTAGTGAGGAAAGCAGAGGAGGGGGTGGCGTCCCCCAGGAGAGACACGCCCCCTGCAGCCCTCTGGCTGAGATACTCCCCCCAAGTTGGACAGAACCAGCCTCAAGCCCCTGAGGCTCCACACCCTGGGGGCACGAGATGTGGCCAGCGTGGGGAGAGGCCCTTCAGGCCTGGGTCATCTGGGGCCCAGGGTGCTGGGCCAGGGGCCAGGGTCCTGAGGGCAGGGGAAGCTGTGCACTGCCAGATCCAACATGGGCGGGACTCTTGGGTTGTCTGGCATGGTGCTAATCGAAGCACCTGTTGGCTCCTGGTGGGAATCCTCAGTCGGCCCAGCCATGTAAGGCATGGCCAGGCAGCCCAGGGGGAGCCAGAGGCTGGGGCGAGGCAGATGCGCTCTAGGGGATGGGGCTGCTCTTGGGTCTAACCTTTGCCCCCAGCCTCTGGGCCCTGGCATCTGACAGGCTTGGCATCCGCCCTCAGGGAGTGATGCCCGGCAGGACTCGAGCCAGCACTATCCCTGCCCACGTTCAGCAGTGAGAGCCAGGTCCCCAAAGGTCAGCCTGATGGCCTCTCCTCTGAGCGCACCACCTCCTTGCCTGTGCACCGATCTCACTGTAGCTCCTTTTGGGATCCGGTGCCCCAGGCAGCCCTAGCCAGGACCCCTGCCCCTGTTCACCCTGCTCTGTGCACCCACATCCCCGAACCTGCCTCCAGGCTCACCGGAAGGTGGGGACACTGTGGGCTGAGTGGCCTCTGGGCTGAGGGGGGCCACCAGGTTGTGCCAGCGAGGGAGGGAGGGTGGAGGGTGGCACTGAGGACACCTCCAGCCCAGAGTCGGGTCCGTGTGCTGACAGGACAGCCACCCTGAATGTTTGCTTCCCTCTTTCCCGTGGTCACTGAAGAGTCTGGGTCCCACGCCTTGGCAACCCCCCTCCCCTGTCACTTTTGCTAGGTCCCAGAGACGCTCCTCAAACAAAAGGGCGGGAGGAGGCGGTGGCGCAGGCCTGGCCAGAGCCTCCCTGCTGTGGAGCTCAGGGTGGGTGTGGACCTGGTGAGCGGCAGTTCAGTGGGGAGCCTGCCCCTGCTTGGGGCACCAAGTGGCGTGAGTTGGGCTGCAGTGACCTTCCCCTGTCGGGGAAGGCTTCTTGGGGGGACAGGGGATGGAAGCCCTCCTGGGGCCTTGCCTGTCCTGCTGGGCTTTGGCTGTGCCCTCTGCACTGACACAGACCGGCTGTCCTTGCGCCTATTCCTCCCTTCACACTCAGCTGGGCTGGACGCTCCCTCCTCATGGCCGCTCTGGAGGGCTCTGTCCCCCTCCTGACTCAGCCTCCCTTTCTGGCATGTTCCTCACTCCTGGCCCAGGACCTGACCCCGCTCAACCGAACTTCCACTCTGGCCTGTCCCTCTGTGGAAGTGGTCCTCAGGGGTGGGGACACGAGAGCTGGGCGGGCATCTGGGTCCTGTGAGGAGTGGGAGTGGCAGCTGCTGGGGACCTCCAGGGAGCCCCTCCCCTGGGGGTCCTGTCTGTGCCACTCCCCAGCCCCTCATGCCCCAGGAGGCCTTGGCATCTGCAGGAAAGCCGCCAGTGAGTCAGGCCCCCACAACCCTCCTCTCTCAGGTCCTCCCAGACAGACAGGCTCCAGGGCTGAGGGTTGTGGACAGGCCCTCCAGCTTCCAGAGATAACACTGTGTGCTGAGGTGGGGTGGGGGTGGCGCAGACAAGGGCCCAAGAGACACCTCCCGGCTCCCTGTCCCCACCACATGGGGTGGCGCTCTGGGTGGATCCCTGGGTGGTGGGCAGGACTGGGGCTGGGCCAGGGGTTTCCAGGCCTCACTCTCCCTCATTTCACGGTAACCCTGTGTGCACCGAGTAGAACTGCTCCGCAGGGTTTTCAAGGCTGTGAGCTTTGGGAAGCAGATCGCCAGGCCTGTCTTCCGAGGCGTCTCTGGGTGGTTCAAATCATGAACCTTTCAGCTAGTAGTTCAGCACTTAACCATTTTCACCACCATGAGTTGGAACAGACTTGACAGCAACTAACAACAGCAACAAACCCCCTCATTTAAAGAGGACAGAAAAGCTCCAAATAGCTTTGACACCAGTTTTAAAATGACATGCCCATTCTCTGCACCCGCACGACCCACAGTTTGAGTCTTGGGAAACTAGCAAGTATCAAAGTAGACAGTATAAAAATAAAACTCTCTAGATGGGTGTCACAGTGCGGAGGACTCTGACGCTGGGGGACACCAAATGTCTCCAGACCCGTAGTGCCGGCTTTGAGGTGACCAGAGAGCCCTAGGGCCCAGAGATCAGGCTTCTCCACCAGGGCCCAGCAGGCTGTTTGCCACCCATTCCCCCAGGACAGGGACTCACCACCAGGATGGGGATCCACCAGGACAAGGACCGCTGGCCATCACAGGCCCTCAGAGGCCAGCCCCACGCTGCCTCTCCCAGAAGGCGCCTATTCACTCTGCCCAGGGAGAGTCCAGGAAACCAGGCGCAGTCCACATAGTGGACACAGCAAACACGGCCATGGGATTTCAGGCATGGGGATGCCGAGGTGGGGTCACTCTACCTGCCCTTGTCCCAGGCAGATGCCCGAGGTGGGGTGGCGGGTGGGGAGCAGAGGGAGGGGATGCGACACACCTTGTGGTAAGACATTTCTATAAAACGCATGTCTGCTGAAGGGCAGAGGAAGCATCACGCCGATTCTCTGTGTTGTAGCATCTAACTGTCCCCTGGGCCCCATCCCTCTCTGGCAGCCAGGGCTGGCAAGGCTGGGGCCTCACTCCTCAGAGCGAGGTTGGAATGGGAGTTCATGCCCCTTGGGGTACAAATGAGGCACCCGGGTATGGGACAGTCTGGTGGCCAGGCTGAGAGTAGGGACAGTGTAGGGGGAGGGAGGGCCTGCCCACCACCAACTCCAGCCCCTCAGCTGGCTTGGAGCTGCCCCCTGCTGGATGGCCCTGGACCTCGCTGGCCTGCGTCCCTCTGACTATCCTCCCGGGGCTCACACGCCCGCTGCCCAGATGGCCTTTCTCCGGCCTCCAGACTGAAATCTTTCCATCATAGCAGTGCCTACTCCTGGTCATTCCAGCTGAGGAGCAGTGGTTGGGAAAGACAGACTCCGGGGAGCTGGGCACAACCGGTTTCTCTCGTGGCGTCTGCTGCCGAGAGGTGGATGAGGGCCGGGCCTGGCTGGCCATGCCAGTTCTGTGCACAGGGCACAGGGTGCAGTCCAGGCCCTCTCAGGCTTCAGGGCTTGTCCTGGTCCAGTCGAAGGCTGGCCCCCGGTTTAGACACTGCTGACTCGGGCTTCTACTGAGGGGATGGCTGAGGTGCCAGCGGGCCTGTCAGGGGGCCGCTCGTGCCTCACATAGCGCGGCTTCCGCACTGAAATGGGCCAGAGAGGGTGCATGTCAGGGCCAGGCTAGTGGAGCAGCGGGGCCAGAGGTAGGGTGGGTGGGGTTCCTACTCACTCTCACTTTGGGGGGCAGACCTCCCCTTGTAAAGCCCCACTGAGCTCACTTGTGAGTGGGCCCATTTCTCCTGACTAAGGCAGTTGTGATGACTACAGCCACCACTCACGGTTCAGCTCCCTTGGTTCACTCACTCTGGCACTCCCCTCTCCCCCCATGTGGAGACACACTGCAGATGAGCCCATCTCTTGATCCTGAATCTGCGAGGGTGACCTTGTTTGGAAAAAGGGTCTTTGCAGGTGTAAGTAAGGATCTGGAGGTGAGGAAGTCATCCCGAATTATCCAGTTGACCCTAAATCCAATGACCGGGGTCCTTATAAAAGACACACAGAGGAGAAACAGAGAGGAAGAAGCCATGTGGCCTCAGGGGCAGAGATGGAGCCACAAGCCTAGGGACACCCGGGGCCACCAGAAGCTGGGAGAGGAAAGGAAGGAGACTCCCCTAGAGCCTCCAGAGGGAGCATGGCCCTGTTAAGACACTGACTAGACTCCCGGCCTCCAGAACTGTGATGTTGTCTTAAGCACACAGTGTGTGGTGCTTTGTATGGCAGCCCCAGGGAACTCATGTGCATCTTAAACTCAAGGTGCTTGAGGCTGGGCTGTTTTTGAGAAGTTGGGAAGCATGGTTACAATGGTTCTGGCCTGATGGGTATGTAGTTTACATCCCGTGGGGCCTCGGCTCACTGGGGGCAGCCTTGTTGAGTAGGTGGTGGTGGGGGGCCGCTCCCAGGGTGAGGCAAGCAGGCCTGAATTCCTAAGAAATTCCAGCTGCTTGGTTTGAAACCTGCTCCAGTTACTGCTGACCAGCTGATCAGCCACTTCGTTCTCAAAGAAGAAAAATGGCATCGTTTGTCCCCCAACCCCGGCCCACTCCCCAGGGGCCGAGAGCTTGGGCTCTGGGAGCCTGATCTGAACCCTCTCTGCAGCCTGTACTGAGTGATTGTGGTGTAGGGGGGTCAGTGCCCTTTCTGTGCTCCTGGTCCCTCAGGAGGTGCCTGGGGGTGGGCCCCGGGGTGGCCAGCAGGACACACTCTTGAGGAGAGAAGGGGACTCCCCTTCTCTCACCACAGGCTTGGCGTCACAGGAGCAAACGGAAGGTGGCACAAAAGCCCCTCAGTTGATCAAGGAAAGGGGCCAGGGACCTGTCAAGGACATTGCCCTTAGGAAGGTTGGAGGCTGGAGGGGACAATGCCCTGTGGGAGGGGGGTGTGGAGGGGATGATGTCCTGGGGGAGGGGCGGAGGAGACACTGCCCTGAGGGGACTTGTACGTTTTGGGGCAGGTGGTTAAGAGCTCAGCTGCTAACCAAAAAGTCCGCAGTTTGAATCCACCAGCTGCTCCTTGGAAACCCTATGGAGCAGTTCTACTCTGTCCTATAGGGTCACTATGAGTCTGAATCGACTCATCGGCAACGAGTTTGGGTTTTTTGTTTTCGGATTGGGTCTGGCATGTGTGACTCCCAGAGATGGATGGGCAGGGACGAGCTGTGTGGTGTTACCTGAGGACTGTGGCGGGGGGATCATCGCAGCCTTGAGGAGAAAGAAAGGCACGGTGAGCAACAGGGCTGGCCTGAGGGGCGGGCGCAGGCACGGGTGACTGGAGTCGGGTGGCTACTTACGGCTTCACTGGGCTGCAGGGCTGGGACTGCAGGGAGAGAGAGTGCTGGTGGCCGTGTGGTCCATGAGGTGGTCTTCGGGGCCGCCCCACGTCCTGCCCGGCAGTGCCCTTGGCTGACCGCCCTCCTCCCGCCCTCAGCTTGGCCGCGCTGCCCCAACGACGGACACACCTTTGTTCCTTCCATAGCAGACGTCAGGGAGCTTACTGGCACGCTTGAGGTAGAAGAACACGGCCACGGTGAGGATGAGGCTGGAGCTGATGAACAGTGTCCCCAAGAAGAGCGAGGCGACCACCCAGGGGCCCCCTGCAGCAGAGCAACGGCCAATCCTCTTGGCCTGGGACCCCACTGGCTCCCCACTTCCCCTCTCAGGGCGGGGCCTACCCCCACCCGAGTTCGATGAGGACGTGAGCAACCCTGGCCCATGTCAGCAGGTGGCACCTGCCTGGGAATGCTCTGACAATTCCCCACAACCCTCCCCACACCCTACACCCCAAGCAGAGCTGGAGGTGTGAGCTCCCGTCTGTGCTGGGCAACTCACCAGAACCTGGCAGCCCAGGTGTCCCTGTGCTCCTGTTCATGGGGAAGGGACCGCCCCGGCCGGAGGCTGCAGGGAGAGCGGAGGTGTCAGAGCCCTCGCAGCCAGAAGTGAGAGGGCAGGGCCTCCAATGGAAGCCGAGAGTTTTGGGGACCAGAGGCCCCAGGGAAGGATCTCAGCTACTCCACAGTAGGAACAGAGCTGGGGGATGGGGGGCAGGGAGCTCGGGAGGCCAGGCAGATGACTTACGGCTTCTGCACCTGGAACTGTTCGTGGTGGTGGCTGGGAAGGTGGTGTTGTGGCATTGGAGGCAGCTGATGCTCCCGTTCTCGGCTCTGTGCCGGTAGCAGCCTGCATCGGGAGGAGGCAGGGCCAGCAGCGGTGTCTCAGTCCCTCTCTTGGGCCTTTCCAAGTTCTGAGTGTGTAGGCACTGGGGGCACCTCTACCACCACCCGAGGGGTCCTGCCTGGCACCCTGCACTCAGCCTCACCCGCAGGGCCTTGGATGCAGCGACCTCACCATGTCACACCCTCATGCAGCTGCAGAGGGACAAGGTCCCGCCCTGCACACCGAGCCCCCACCCTCGTGGACGTTCCTCGAGTTCAAGCTGCACCTGCTCCCAGACTGCTGTGCCTGCTCCCGCTGGTGGCATCTCTGTGGACAGCCTGTCTGCCAACTCAGAGCACCCCTGCTGGGCAGGAACCTGTCTGACTTCATGTGTCACTCCTGCGGCCAGCATGGCTGAGCAGACACCGGCTTGAGAGGGCCAGCTGCTGGTGGAGCCCCAGGCCCCTCCTAATGCCCTTTGCTATTCAGTCTCCACCAAGACACTGTTGGAAGGCCTGAGAGCTCTGAGCACGCTGGCCTCTGGGCTTCTGTCCTACCCTTTCCTGCAGACTCCTTGCCTGGCAGGCCTCCTCCATGGAGTGCTCGCTCTTTTCCACCCTGTGTGGCCCCCCCAAGTCTGTTGTCACCTGCTCCATGAAGCCTCCATGGAGAGAATCCAACGTCCCTCCCAATGTCCCTCTTTTTCAAAGACTTCATCTATCTCACTGCGGACCCATGCCAGCTCCCCCACCCCCAAGTGCCTGGGCACACTGTGGGGAGGCCCCCCAGGCACACGGGCTTGCAGGGGCTGCTTACCTGGACCGCACAGGCCTGTGCCGGGGCAGGTGGCATTGGCATCTGCCACCTCCACACAACACTCGGGCTGCTGGACCTGGGAGTGGGGAGCGGGCAGTGAGTTCCCAGCCATGCTGGAAGTACCTTGCAGCCACACTGAACTCCGCTGGAACCCCGTGGGCTCCTTGTTGGGTGGAGGCAGACACTGCCCCCCGCCCCGTCCCTTTTCGCACCCGACTGTAGCCTTGGTCAAAGACTGGCCTCCTGCTGTCCTCCTCTGTAGATGTGTCCCACCCCATGCGCTCTGAGCCCCTATTTCTGTGGATGTGTCCCACCACCATGCTACACGCCTCCTCAGGGAGGGCCTGGGGGAGCTGTGGGCGGTGGGGGGCTCCAGAGGTTCTGACTTGCGGGTCTGGTGGAGCAGGGTGGTCCTGGCAACGCTGCAGGGACCTTCTGGGGTGGCAGGAACCTGCAGTTTGTATAGACCCTCCCCCGACAGCCCACCTGCTGGCCCTAGCACCAAAAATCCCCCTTTTCCACTCTAGGGTGCACCTGGGCACTGGGTGAGGCCATGGCCCTTCCTCCATCGGGTGTTCCTAGTTTGAATGGCCACAGGGGGCATTTCAGTTGATACCCTAACTGGGTGTTGGGTTTAGTGCCCGGCCTTGGACAGCAGTCGGGAACCTGGGGAGTCTGAGGCGCGGAGAAGCCACATCTGTTTGACGGAGCCCTGACCAGGGTGCAGCAGAGCCCCGTGGCAGTCCTGGCTGACCAAGGGAGGGCAGGCCCTCACCCTAGGCTTGTGGCTGGTCGGCTGGTGGACCTGCTGCCATAGGACACGTGTCAGTGTTGGAGCTGGTAGTAGGGACAGTGGGAGCAGGGACGGCAGGAGCAAGGATGGAGAGAGCAGGGATGGCAGGAGGTACGCTGCAGCCTGCTCTGGAAGCAAAGGCTGGGTGCACAGTGGTATCACTAGCCTGGAGAGCCGTCCCACAGAGACTCCTACACAATGCCAATGCCCCTCAGGGCAAGTGGCTTCATCTACTCGGGGACTGGCAGATGGAGGGGCTCCCGTCAGCCGTAGGGGGCAGCTTGACTGAGACCCCATGCTGGCTGTGGCAAAGGTCCACCTTGGCCAAAAGAGAAGGTTCAAGGCCAGAAAAGGACTGTGCCGAGCGCTGTGTCCCATGTTCGCTGCCCCGTGATGCCTGGGCCCCGGTGCCAAGGCAAACTTAAGGCAGCATCTCGGGCTTCTGGGTACTCAGTGACTGCTGGGGTGAGGGTCAGACACTGTAGGCGAGGCCCTGAACCCCAGGCTGCGTGCTCGGGGCACCTGCTGCCACATGGGGTCACCTACCACACTTTCTGTGGATGTGCCAGCGACTTCCACCAGGACTCCTGCCAGGAGGATGACATGAGGGAGCGCCATGTCCTGACACAGCATCTGCAACAGAGAGGGGCGCTGTGGACAGTGGTGTGGGGTGGCCTGTAAGGACCCTACCTGCCCCTCCAGGGGCGGGCTGCTCACTCTGCCCTCCACTGCCCAGGGTGACCTGCTAGTCCCACGGCTGGGGCCTCTGGGCAGCTAGGAGTCATGTCTACCTGGGCCCTGCTGGGTCCTGGACACTGCAGTGTGAGGCCTGCAAGTGAACTTGGTCAGGTAAGGCCCACTATGGCAGAGGCGGGGTGGAGCGGGAGGGGGCCGCCATCACCCCACCAGTCACCAGATGCAGGACAGAATTCACTCCTTTCTCCAGCAGCTTTTGGCTCAGCCTCTGTGATCTGGAAGTAGCACTCAGCAGAGGAGTAACTGGGGTGGGCAGAGGGTTTGTTTCCCGATGAACCAGTCCAGTATTTAAGGTCAGTGTTATGGGATGAATTGTATCCCACAAAGAGACATGTTCAAGTCCCAACCCAGTACCTGTGAACATGACTCTGCTTGGAAACAAGGTCTTTGAAGACGTCATAGCTAACAAGGGTTAACTGTTAACATCCGTTAACCCTATTGGAGTAGTGTGGGTCCTAATCCCATCTGAGTGGTGCGATTATAAAAGAGGAGGAACGACAGACAGAGGGAAGACGGCCATGTGACAACAGAGGCAGAGACTGGAGGGGTGCAGCCACAAGCCAAGGATCACCGGCCATCACCAAAAGCAGGGAGAGAGGCCTGGAACAGCTTCTCCTCAGAGCCTCGGAAGGAATCGACAAAACTGCCACCCTGATCATGGGCTCCCAGCCTCCAGGACTGAGAATGAACTTCTGTTCTTTGAAGTCTCCACTTGGTGGTACCTGTCACAGCCGCCCAAGAACTCCCACATGTCCAGTTTAACAAGAGACACACCAAGCTGCTCAACCACTCGAAGTAAGTATTGTGTTAGTGAACATTTCAAGAAGCTTCTGTAAACTGGCAAGGTGGCAACCATAATTATAATCTGCCCCAGACACAGCTGGGTCAGTATTTTGACACATAAAGGTTACCTCTAGAGAGGCTTTCTGGGGTAAAATTTCAAACCCAACGAGAAGCACGTGGAGCAGAGCAGTGCATGTTGGGAATTGTTCTGGGTCCCACAGATGCTGCTGGACACCATGATGGACTGAGGGAGTGTCCTTGCTGTGGCCGCTAGCCAGGCCCACGGTGTACCAAGAAGCTGTAATTTGGGGTGGTGGGTAATCATACCCCGAGGGTGTTGGGAAGGGTCCTGTCATCAGCACCCCTGACCAGCCTCCACGCACTGGTGTGCCCATGAGCTGGTAGGCAGTGGGGACTCTCAGGGTAGAATGATGAAGGCGAGGTGAACAGCACCTGCCCCGTGATGGTGCAGGTGGGGTCTGTAATGCACTCTCCGCTGGACTCAGTCCAGGCTGGTGGCAAACAGGGCATTGTGTGGGCTGGGGGATGCCTAGGCCCAAGGGAGGCCAGAACTGTCTCCTCCTGAGCTCCATGAGGCACCCCCCCGCCCCCCCTCCAGCAGCATATACCTTTTAAAAAGGTGATTTAATGCCATCAGGAAAAATGTGCCTTTTCCCTGATTTACCTTCTCCTTTCAATTATGCCCACCACCCGTCCGTCAGTTTGCAGTACTCTGGTGGCGTGCGTGTTGCTATGATGCTGGAAGCTATGCCAGCAGTATTTCAAATACCAGCGGGGTCAACCATGGTGGACAGGTTTCAGTGAAGCTTCCAGACTAAGACAGACTAGGAAGAATGGCCTAATGATCTACTTCCAAAAATTGGCCAATGAAAACATATGGATCACAACAGAACATTGCCCAACTCGCTTGCTTTAGACATGCCATCGGGGGGATCAATCGCTGGAGGAGGAATTATGTTTGGTTAAGTAGAGGGCCAATGAGGGCGAGGGAGACCCTCAGTGATATGGATTGGCATAATAGCTACGATGATGAACTCAAACACGCTGTCAATTATGAGCATGAAGCGAAACCAGGCAACGTTTCATTCTGTTGTACATGGGTTTGCCATGAATTGGAGTCGACTACATGACAGCTATCTATCTATCTTCAATTATGTAAAATCAATTGTAAAAGATAGCAATATATTAAGGAATAATTTATGTACAACAAAATGAATCTATTTAAATAAAGCACACAACTCAGTGAGTTTTGACCACTGTATACACCTGTTGGGAGCCCTGGTGGCACAGTGGTTAAGAGCTCAGCTGCTAACCAAGAGACTGGCAGTTTGGATTCACCAGCTGTTCCTTGGAAACCCTAAGGGGCAGTTCTACTCTGTCCTATAGGGTTGGTATGAGTTGGTCAACTCGACGGCAGTGGGTTTGGGTTTTGGATATACCTGTGAAACCACCACCATAATCAAGAGACAGAAATTTCCATTGCCTGCAAAAGACGCCTAGTGCCCTTTGCAGTCCAACCTTCCCTCAGCCCCTGGTCCCAGACAACTACCTAGTTGATTGTTATCACTATAGATTGTTGTTGTTGTTAGCTGCCATTGAGTTGGCTCCAATTCATAGCGACCTTATGAATAACAGAACAAAACATTGCCCGGTCCTGTACCATTCTCACAATAGTAGGTATATTTGAGCCTACTGTTACAGCCAGTGTGTCAGTCCATCTCAGTGAGGGCCTACCTCTTTTTCGCTGACACTCTACCAGGTGTGATGTCCTTCTCCAAAGATTGGTCCCTCCTGGTGACAAGTCCAAAGTAAATGAGACGAAGTCTTGCCATCCTCGCTTTAAGAAGCATTCTGGGTGTACTTCCTCCAAGACATATTTATTCATTCTTCTGGCAGTCCATGGTATATTCAATATTCTTCACCAACACAGTAATTTAAATGTGTCAATTCTTCTTTGGTTTTCCTTTTTCATTATCCAGCTTCTGCATGCATATGAAGTGACTGAAAAGACCATGGCTTGGGTCAGGAGCATTTTAGTCATCAAAGTGACATCTTTACTTTTTAAAGAGGTCTTTTGCACAGATTTGCCCAATACAATATGACCTTTGATCTCTTGACTGCTGCTTCCATGAGTGTTGATTGTTGATCCAAGTAAAATGAACACCTTGACAACTTCAATATTTTCTCCATTTATCACGATGTTGTTTATTGGTTCAGTTGTGAGGATTCTTGTTTTCTTTACATTCAGGTGTAATCCATACTGAAGGCTACAGTATTTGACCTTCATCAGTAAATGCTTCAAGATTAGTTTGCATTTTCTAGAACTCTATATAAATGAATCATACAGTATGCACACTTTTGTGCTAGTTTCTTTCATTCAGCATAAGTTTAGATTCATCCGTGTTGTTTTATCAGTACTTTGTTCCTTTTTGTTGCTACTCTTCCATTGTATACGTATATGCCATTTTGCTTACCCATTCACTCATTAATGGTTATAATGGTTGTTTCCGGTTTCTAGTTATTGTGAATTAAGCTGCTATGAACATGAGTGCACCAACCTTAGCATGGACATTTGTTTTCATTTCTCTTGGATAAACACCTAAGAGTGGAATGGCTGGACCATATTGTAGGTGCATGTTTACCTTTTTAAGAAACCACTAAACTGTTTTCCAAAGTGGGTGTACCATTTTATACCTCCACCAGCAATATGAGAGTTCCATTTGCTCCACATCCTCACCAACACTTGTATTATATCAACGGGTGTATAGTGGTATCTTGTTGTTTTAATTTGCACTTCCCTGATGACTAATGATGGTGAACATCTTTTCATGTGTTTATAGGGTCGCCATGAATTGGAATCAACTTGATGGCAACGCGTTTGGTTTGGTTTTGTCAGCCATTTATATATGTTCTTTTGTGAAGTATTGTTCAAATTGTTTGCTCATTTTTTAATTGCGTTGTTTATCTTCCTGTTATTGAGTTGTTAATAGTTCTTTACATATTCTTTGTCATGTCTGTCTCAAATATTTACTCCTATTCTGAGGCTTGACTTTTTATTTTCTTATCATTATCTTTAGATGAGCAAATGTTTTCACTTCAGTAAAACTGAATGTATCAATTTTTTTTTATGATTCTTAATTTTTGTGTCCTGAGAAATCTTTGCCTTAGGATATGAACAGGCACTTCACCAAAATAGACATTCAGGCAGCTAACAGACACATGAGGAAATGCTCACGATCATTAGCCATTAGAGAAATGCAAATCAAAACTACAATGAGGTACCATCTCACCCCAACAAGGCTAGCATTAATCCAAAAAACACAAGATAATAAACGTTGGAGAGGTTGTGGAGAGACAGGAACACTTATACAATGTTGGTGGGAATGTAAAATGGTACAACCACTTTGGAAGTTGATGTGGCGCTTCCTTAAAAAGCTAGAAATAGAAGTTCCAGACGATCCAGCAATCCCACTCCTTGGAATATATCCTAGAGAATTAAGAGCCATCACACGAATAGATATATGCACACTCATGTTCACTGCAGCACTGTTCATGATAGCAAAAAGATGGAAACAACCTAGGTGCCCATCAGTGGACGAATGTATAAACAAATTATGGTATATTCACACAATGGAATACTACGCAATGATAAAGAACTACGATGAAGCCATGAAACATAACATGGAGTAATCTGGAAGGTATTATGCTGAGTGAACTTAGTTGCAAAAGGACAAATATGGTATGAGACCACTACTGTAAGAACTCAAGAAAAGGTTTAAACACAGAAGACAACATTCTTCAATGGTTACGAGGGTGGGGAGGGAGGTGAAGGGTATTCACTAACCAGATAGTAGACAAGAATTATCTTAGGTGAAGGGAAGGACAGCACACACTACAGGGGAAGTCAGCACAACTGGACTAAACCAAAGCTAAGAAGTTTCCTGAATACAATCAAACACTTCGAGGGACAGAGTAGCAGGGGTGGGGGTCTGGGGACCATGGTTTCAGGGGACATCTAGGTTAATTGGCATAACAAAGTTTTTAAAAAAATGTTCTGCATCCCACTTTGGTGA